AAGGTCCATCGCCGTGCTCAAAAAGTGTGTCCTGTGTCTGTTAGCACTGGAACAGCAAGACTTCATGTAGCAGTCTTTCAGAATCAAGTAGTCGCTCAGCTAGTGAACAAATTCAACGCCTTTTATGGAACCCGTAGGTTCAGTACCTCTTTCACAGGATCACGGCTCTGGTGCGTATTCTAATCCACACGAATCCAGTCCACCCCCCACCATTTCTTGGAGATCCGGTTGATGCCATCCTCTGATCTACGCCCAAGACTTGCCGTCGTGTTTTCTCGACCGCAGTCAGTTATTAAGCGACGTCGCTGATGACAGAAGTATGAAAACCAATCGCCTTGAACGTCTTGGGCAAGACGTGAGGAAACTTTAAATTGAGAAACATCTATTAGCGGCAGCGGATAACGTAGCTGAACACCGCACTTCCACAACGTAGCCGGGTTTATGTAGCGAGACATATCAATTATGCCTTAATAAAGTAATAAACTACTGTGGTATTGTATGAAGGCTCAAATTAAAATTCCACACTGGATGATGCACGGAGTGGCTGCAGGTCGACTCACAGGTGGCATTTGCATTCGTAACAGAAATTGTCAACAGGTCTTGACTGATGTTACAGCCCATTAAACTAACTCCGTGAAGCAGTGTCATTCTTAGGAAGCTAGTCAACAAATTCCCGACCTTTTATGGAACACGAAGGTTCATTAATGTGCTCGTTAAATCCAGCCCTGTGCCATATGAAATCAACCACTCACGTTCTTTAAGACATTCCCTTTGCGTCTCTCCTTTTCAAGAGATCTCCCTTCAAGATCCTAACCAGGATTCTGTACGCAGCGTAAGAACAACGAGGATAGCAAATTGAGCATGTGAGTAGACTCGTCTTTCGTACAGCGCTGCATTGGAATTAATGGAAAATCGTCTGTAGCTTTCTATGGTCACTGACATTCCGCACGATGTAAAGTATATAAAAAACGTATCCGTCTTAGTGAATGTCACATTTCCTGTCATAAGTATCTCTCGACTTAACGCATGTTTCGTGGGCCAAATCTAAAAATCAAAATATGTCTCTGGATTTTCATTTGCGAGGACATGATTCACTGGCGTCAGTACTGATAAAAGAACGCCGAAGTCTGAATGTGAAGCAGTTTTAAGAAACTAAATGTTAATAACCGACTGACGTAATTAACGATGCCCACTGAGAGTCATTAAGTAATCTGCAAATGACGGAATCTTTAATGTAGACACAGGCGGGTAGCATTTATATCCAGAACTGTCGCACGTTGAAGAGGAAAGAGAAAGATACGTTTATTTCGAAAGGGCAGTTACGAAGAAAAAGGACACGAGTTGTTCTGTTTTCAACAACAGCCACTCAGAAGAAAGATGATTCATGATTGAAACGTTTGGTCAAACGTGAGAATGTTTATATTACTTGGTATGAGCGCGCATCCGAAAATTAAATGAATATTTAAAATGTTAAATAAGAGTGGGCTCAACAACATGTGAATAGTGGAGGTACACTCATTATGCATGAAAGCAAACTTACATACACAAGTTTAAGTAAGGAAAATTGTAACAGAGAGTACTCAAAGTGATTAAACATACCGAACCTGAAAAAAACAACATTTCAGTCGGATAAAAAAACTGGTTCTCTTCCGTCCAAGAGCCGTGTTATTAGCGAAGTCAAGTGAAAAGTGCGGAATGCACGCAACAGCAACGCGGCGTCCAGCCACGGTGTTTGCACAACTAATTCGTGAAAGTGTT